AAGATAGAACTCGCTGCGAGAGGAAGCACAAGGTTAGGAGCCTCTTCGTTCGGTGTTTCCCTTCTCGTGTTTAAGACGAATAATACGGCAGTTCGCTCGCCATCCTTGTGGGACTTCGTTTAGGAAAACGCCAGGTGTTTCAAAGGATTCGACGGTTCGTTCGCCGAGGTAAGGTGACCACAGGTTGTGTTTTGCCCTTGATCTGGCGTTGTTTTCTTTTCCCACAAGAGGTGTTAGCAGCAGGCGGCAACTTGGACGTAAATTAAACCAACAGACAGCGTTGGTACCAGTTTATGAGTGTCGTGTGTGGTTGGTACCATGTGTGTTCCGTACCACATACTCCCACTTTGGTGCAATGTTATGGTACCAAACTTCCTAAGGTCTGGTTTTGTGGGTTGTGTTTGTTTTTTGTGATGTAGGACTATGATTGGGTTTATATATATATACTTCTGTCGCATTTGTTTCTATTGATGGCAAATGAATGTGAATTTACCCGTTATTACGAAAGTGAGATAGAAAAAAAAGAGAAAAGTGAACGAACGTCATGCAAATCGTAAGGCTTCACGAAGACGAAAAACAAGCCCTGTTTGTGTGATATATACTAATCTCAGGAGGATTACGCAAGCATGCAAGCAGACATTCATTGATTGTCTGCATCGTCTCGCAAGAACGAGCACAAAGCCCGGCTTGTTGGCAATGCAAGCGTCGTAACTAACTTGAGTGTTGTGGAGGGACAAGCGACCGTCAAGTGAAAGTGAAAAAGTGAGTTTTTCTAGGCGTGTGTCAACTGCTTATGCCAGCTGAGCTATATATACTATTACTATTTACTACTGCAGTGATTTTCACTATTGTTGTTTTTGTTACTGTTATTATTATTATCATTATTATTATTATTAATACTATTATTATTATTACTGTTTTTATTATTATTATTATTATTATTATTATTATTATTATTATTATTATTATTATTATTATTATTATTATTATTATTATTATTATTATTATTGTTATTACAGTTATCATCATTTTTATCATTGTTTACATTTATTGATCATGATTAATATTTTCACTATGATGATGATGATGTTGTCGTTGTTATGTGTTATTATTATTATTTTTTTTATTCATTATCATCATCATCATCCTTTATTATTATTATTATTATTATTATTATTATTATTATTATTATTATTATTATTATTATTATTATTATTATTATTATTATTATTATTAATAATATTGATATTATTACTATTATCATTATCATTACTATTGTTATTGTTATTCTTATTATTAAACGAGTATTATTATTATCTTTATTATTATTATTACTATTATTATAATTGTTATTGTAAGTTTGATGATGATGATGGTGATTATGATTGAATTATGATAATACTAATAATAATGATAATGATAATAATGATGATAATGATACTTATTGTTATTATTATTATCATTATCGTTATCTTATTATTATTGTGGTTGTTATTATTGGCCTTGTCATTATTATTATTGCTGTTTGTGTTATTATCTCATTTCTATTATTAATATTGTTATCAACAAACTTGTCTGTATTACTGTTAAAATTGTTATTGATATCATTTTGATTAGTGATAATAACGATATAAGTACTGAAATAAAAAAAGCTTGTTTCAAAGTGTGTAATGACATTATAGTGACAATGACGATGATCAAAACGCCATATATAATAATGATTATAAATGTAACGTGTGCAACTTTATAATGATAGATGTATACAAGAAGAAACTAGTAATGACAATATCGCCTCACGCAATATATTGATTTTAGTGAATCAATTAACGAATTCCACTTATCGAATACGTGATATGAATACTCAGGAGAAAACGAATGCCATAGAGTGCGAATTAATATGGTGTACTAACACGGTAAACAAAGTATAATTTATATATGGAGGTTGATTAGATATTCAATGATATACTAATGAGAGCTAATAGTATCAGCAATCGAGATAAAGTCACACGTAAGGTCTCAATAATAACATAATAAATGATCATAGTAATAAACTAGTAATCAATTCGCAAAGTAATAAATGATAAAATGATTATCGATAATGATAGTGATTTCAACAAGAAGTCAACTTATTGTTATGAGTATTAATTGTTTGTTTCGTAAACTTATATCGTTATTATTATTATATTTACATTCGTCTCGAGAGTATCAGTTTCTAAGTTTAGTATTACTAATACATATCTATTTAATTGAGTTATTAATTTATGTCACATGTTATCTAGTTTAGATCCTGTGAATTATTATTATTGTTCTTATATAGGATATATTCATTATTATTATTATTATTATTATTATTATTCTATTCACAGGATTGAGTTCCATTTATATAATTAACTGCATTATAAATATATTAATTTTCTAACCGGCCTATATGGATCAATCCTCTTCTTTCCCGCAATTATGAAAGGTCGGATCACTATATTATGTTACTTTTGAGTGACATTAACGATCCTTAAATCATGAGGGAACTGAGAGAGGCGCGGGAATTAGGAATTCGTTTATAACTAATGCAATGCCTGGTTTTACGAAAAATACGTTTTTAAATGCAATTAGAAAACTAAAATAATATTAGTGATACTTTATATATTGCAATAGGTGCGTGGAGTGAATCTTAGTTTTCTTACGTGATTATTTTGGGAGTGAGAATGAAATGCATTCAGGGAGATCCTGAAGTTTTATATCCTGGTTGGTGCATCATTTAATGCATTTTTGGAAAGTACAAATTTATTTAATAAAAATGTTATTTTTACATACTCAACACTTGTTACTATTTTTCAATAATTAATCATTATTATTATTAAATTATTAATTATTATTAGATAATTGATTATTATTATTATATAATTAATATTTTATATATAATAATTTATCAGTGTATATCATATATTATTATATTAATTATATATTTTTATTATTTAATCTGAGTTATATTAATTCATTATAATATTATAAATTATTTAATTTGTTCATTAATTATTTAATTTCAATAATCTTAACTCAATCTTATCGATCTATATATTTGTATTAAATTACTATATTATATTATTATCCTATCTAATCTCATTAATTATTATATTTTTATTATTATTCTATATTATGTTTTATATAATTATCATATTACATTCCTATTATTATTTTATCATTTATTAATCTTATTTTATTATTATTAATATTTTAATTATTTATATTTATTATTTATTATATTATTATTTTAATTTTATTTAATTTATTTATGTATTTTATATTTATTTAATATTTATTTATTATTAATTTATTTATTAATTTATTGGTTTGATTTGATTTATTATATGTTTTAATTATTTTTTTTATATTTTATCATTTGAGTGTGTATTCACTATTGTTATTATTATTAATTATTATTATTATTATCAATTATTGTGTTTATTAATATATTATCTTTTATAGTGTGATATTTAATTTTTATTTGTTTTTATTGTGTATGGTGGTATTGTTATATTTTTTATTGTGTCTTTATGTTATTCATTCATTTATACTAAGCAATTAATATTATTTCTATCATTTCAGTTTAATTTTAAATAATATCATTATTGGTTATTGTTTATATTATTTGTATTATCTAAATTCTGATATTTGGCTTGGAGTGTGTTTGAGTTATTAGCATTATATTATAATTATTATTTATTATTAGTTTCTTAATCTTATAACTTTTATTCAATTTATCATAAGATTATCTTAAATAACCGACTTCATCATTATCATTATAGTTATTGGTGCTAGTCTTAATAATCAGATTATCATTATTGATCTAATTGTTTAAGATAATATCTGATTTATATTTAATCATATTTATATTCATAATTCGTCATAATCATATTAATCTACTAATACGTTAGAGCGATTAATAGTGGTTTAATAAATGGTAACGATAAAAGTGATTTTATAAAGATTATACATATTCATTTTTTAATTTGAATTGTTTTTATTGATAATGTCATCTATAATAAAATTGATTATCTAACAATTCATTTATCCATTATTATTGTTATTACTCATAATTTAATTAACCATTAATTAATCATTATTGTTATTATCATATCATTACTCATCCTATATCATATATTCTTTATTATTATATTTAAATCTTATTAAATTCATCATATATTTCATCATCATTAATCAATATATATTTTAATTATATTATTATTTTATTATCAATTTATGATTATGATATTTAATAAATTGTCATTGGCTATTCATTATCATTATTAGTAATTATATGTACATTGGATTATATTTATATTTCATCTTGTCTATACTCTCGTATGAATATAATACACAATTATTATTAGCACTTTCTTATTAATTTTATTTATTATTAATTGGACAAATATCATAAATTTATTATTATCTTTTATTTATTATTATACTATATTTTCACGATTTTTAATTTATGTATCTTACATTATAATCTTATTATTATATTATTATTACATTCATAATTATTATATTCAAGATATTCACTCCAATTACGAGTATTGTTAAGTTGTCTCCTGTTTATAACTATATTTTTTATGTGATATCTACTCATTTATTATTGTTATTCATTTCGTATATGTGTATTATTAGATAATCATTTGACTTCTTATTTTTCTTCATATCTTCTCATCCTCTTATCCTACTCTTCATTTACTTTCTTCTGATATTATTATTATCTACTATTATAATTAATCAGTGTTAAACACTGATACATTATCCATTTTTTATTTCACTCTCTTGATTTGTTGATTCGTCTTATTGCGTTGTTTTATCTGTTATTCACTTAATTGTTACTAAAATTAAATTTCCTTTTCATTCCAGTTATTTTCTCTGCTATATAATTTAATATGAGCAGTAGTATAACTGATTATTGACATATTTATTTAATTGAATAGTACATAAATGCTGTATTAACGCATTAAGACAATTCTCATATGTATAAGAGTGGGAGATGGATATATTTTCTATATATACATCGCATTATAGTCATTACTGTTCTAACAACACTCATTAACATTACTTCACATATACTATACATTATACTGACGCAATACGGAAGTAATATAGGAATATTGAAAGGGAAGATAATTCAG